AGTGCCCCTAATGTCAAGGAAACATTGCCAACGTTCAATAGCCCATAATATCCACCAAACGGATTCCATGTCAAAGCACAAATTACCATATAAACCTCCAAAGACATCTCCGGGCCGCGCTTTTGGACCTACACTCAGATGATGAAACACGATTCACTGAGACTTCTCGTGGGGGTTGTTGTTCTTGCGCTTGTTTTGGTCCATGTTGTTTCTCGTGCGCTTCTCAACTCCAAGCGCTTAAGCGCCGAAACATTTGGTAGAGATGTGCCAATCACTCTCTATGCCCTCTCTCTGATTTTGACACCTGGTCCTCATCCCGCACCACACTCTGTGCCTGGGCACTCTCAAGCGCATCTAGAACGTTCAAGGCAGAAACTCGACAGTATGGATCTACAATCCACTACAGGCCTTGGAGCTTGGATGTTGCAAGTCTTTCAGAGCCAACCTCGAAGGCTTTCTACTTCCTGTTCTTCGAAGGCCACTGAGTGATTGAGCCTCAGTGCGGTGCTGGTGACCAAGTCCCCTCCCTAGTCCTCTTCGGTGCTTTCTTTGGGTGGTCGCCGAAGACACCGAAGTCACACGCGGCCACGCCACCGACGTTCAACGGCCGACCGAGTCGCCAGAACCCATCGCCTTACATCGACGAAAGGTGGCCGAGTGGCTCGGTGAGCTCCTGGTGGACCCCTTCGGCATTGAAGGATGAAGAGCCCGCGAAGTGCGCGAAATCCTTGGCATCTGCGGCGAACGCGCGCGGGAGCTGCAGAATACTGTCACACGCGCATGCATATACTATTACATGTGTAAATAAGACATAAACACACACACACACACATATATATATATATAATGATCTGGAAGCTCGATCATCCCAAAATCTCGTAAAATCTCCGGGTGGTATCCAAACATTCAAGAGCATGGACTATTTTGTTCATTCTTCACTTGCACATGGGAGGTTCACAGCCATTTTCCCCAAAACCAAATCCATCTTCATGTCATTGCACTCCAAAGCTCCCAGTAGTTCTCGGCCAAGGCCGCGTTTTCACAGCTGGCCGCCTTCTCCTGGAGCTCCAAGCGGTTCCCTTCGGCTTCCAGCCGCTTCAGCGCCTCCGACAGCTCGCGACCCTGGTGACGCTGCTGGATCATGAGCTCCGTTAATCGGTGGATCTCCTGCTTCTCGCGCGTCACCGTCTCCTCCTCAGGATGGGAGCTTTGGAAGAAGGGGGTGAAGGGATGTCATGGGTAGATGGGGGAGATAAAGATGGCTAGGAGCTTGTGCATGGGTTCGCCTTAGCAAAAGCTTAGCAAGATCTCCGGGAGGATTTGGGCATCACTTCTAGGAGCTTGACATCACGACTGTGGTTCCTCAGGATGGTAGCCAAGGGGTGATGAAACATCCGTCAACCCGCCCTGAAGGAAAACCATCTCAAGGCCAAAAGGGTTAGTGGTTGAGGGGAGCCCGATTAGAGTCGGAAGGCCATCAAGGTGGACCGGAAAGATGCTTTTCCAAGGCCAGGGCCTAGCAACCTTACACACTCAGGTCACGGGGGTACCTGACCTAGGCCCCCAAACCAGACTGATCAGGACAGCCTGATGGTCTTGATTGAGTTTGAAGATGCTTCCTGACCATCACTCAGTGAGAAAATAGACCAAAAAGGCCGCTCAAATACACCTCAAAGTCTCAGACTTTGCCAAGGATTCCCTCAAGCTTGAAATATGCCAATGCCAATATGCAAGTTGGTCATGAAACTTGCCCTCGCCGTCACCACCGTTGCTCTTGATGGACTGAACCTCTTTCCTCGCTTCTCGGTGTTGGACGCGCAAGTCTTGCACCCTCTCGCCCATGTCGGGTGCGCTCGCACTTGTGGTCGCGGGAGGATCGGAAGGTCTGGAAAACTGTGTGTGGGTGGTCCAGTGGTGTGACGAGCGAGCGTGCTTCACAGCCTCCAGCTTTGACTGGACTGAAGTCACAGCAGCCTTCTTCTCATGAAGTGATGACCGCAGCTCTTCCAGCTCCTTTGTATTCTCTTCCTTTGGTGCAGGCATGACAACATGTCCTGCACCTGCCCGAGCTTGCTCAGTCTCTGAAGCCATCTGGTCATGGACCGGCTGAGCTGCCATGTGCGCGGCATGCGCCAATGCGGGCTCATGGGGATCCACATCTTCTTCCTCTTCCTCTTCCTCTTCCTCCTCCTCTTCTTCCTCTTCTTCCTCTGAGCTTGTTGAGTTGAGCGGTCAAAGGACGTGAAAACTCTTAACGTAGATTTGATGGAGATGTCCAGCCATATAAATGATGCAATGCTAAATATGTGTTTTTAGTTATATATAAAGGAACTGTCATGCATCCAGCATGTCAGTCCTCTTCTTCCTCCTCTTCCTCATCCTCCTCTTCAACACCTTTAACTACCTTCTTTTCGTGAGCTTGCTGGTGATGAGAAGCCTTTCCACTCTCATGGTGGCTTGGAACAGTGCTTGGTTTTTCATGGTGTTTGGAGCTAGCCCCTTCTGCAGCCTCGTCCACCTCATCATCTTCCTCTTCTTCCTCCTCCGAATCCACAAGCCACAAACTCTACCAACACCAAACCAACGTGACACATGGTGCATGTGTAGAACAAAGTTCGGCTTTTCCTACCTCTTCCTCTTCCTCTTCCTCTTCCTCTTCTTCCTCTTCCATATTCCATTCTGCAGCACCTGCTTGCCCCTTGGCCACCGAAATATTCCAGAAACACATTCTGAGCATTCTTGTTGACACTCTTGGTTTTGGTAGGTCTTGGAACTCCACACGCGCCCTGATACCCGCGCCCCGAGCTCCCGGACGCTGGAGCTGCGGGGCGGTGCGTGCGATGCGTTCGAGGAGGGCGGCGGATGTTGGGCCTGAAGGCATCCACTGAAGGATACATCGACCGCGCATCTTCCTGTTCCTTTCCCACAGAATCCAAGCTGGTACTTACGACCCCTTGGTCGTGCGTTTCGCCATGCGTTTCAACCAAAGGATTTATATTGAAAAAGGAACATGCTTTCGGAGAACAGCATGCGCCTCAAAGAACGACAAAAGCAAAAACATCAGAATTACATTAATCAGGAAGTGCATGGAGTGGCCTTGTAGACTCCTTGTAGTGCTGAAATGTGAGGTGACTTTGTTAGCCACCGGCCACCGCAGCATCTCCGCTTCGTGCTTGAAACCATTTGGGTCGTCGTCCATGCATTGAGTGTGATTAGGCGTGTGTCGGGTGTGATTGGGGGCCTTGGGCTTGAAACACAAATCCATTGTATTCCGATTGGGCACGTCATCAAAGCATATCAAGCGAGTTGCTTCGAACCTGGTTTCAACACAGCTGGCGCCAGAAACATGAGTCTTTTTGCGCAGCAATCTCGAGCATGAACTCCGCCACAACTTCTAACTGGGTGGCCCCATAAAGCCACCCTGCACCCCCGAAAAGAACCACTACGAAGTGATGGTATCTAAACTTGCATGTTGCCTGTGGACCTCCAGGACAACTCCCTCTGTCCCTGTTCAGAGCTTTTCACCTCAAGGAGACCGACCTCGTTTCGTCCAACCCAATTCGCAGCCTGGGCTTCAGCTGAAGATGGGTTCGACCTCAGGAGCTCCAGACAACGACATGAGAACTCGGACCACCGAGTTGGCGGATCGAAGAACATAAGAACTCAAATGAAACCCAAGGTGTTGAGCTAGATGATGTTAGAATATGTTAGATGTCTTCATCTTCATCCTTCATCATCTTAGATCTACCAAAAAAACATCCACCAGGGTTCTGGCGGAATGGATCACTTTACATCGTTTTACTACATTGCTCCTCTTCCAAAAACACTTCTTTCGCCGCACATGATGCACTCTCCATCGCGCGCGCCGAAACGCGCGCGCGCCGCGTGTCTGGCTTCGGTGGGTCTGGACGCTTCACCTCGGCCGCCATGTGATTCCGGTGCCCTTCGGTGTTTGAAAAACCACCGGTGGTTTCTCCGGAAAAAAGGATGCCGCTCTGCGGGCTCCATTCCATGCGGCTTCTTTTCTCACTGGAGAAGCGGGGCAGAACACTTGTGTGTGTGGTCCTTGAATGGTGAAAAGGTGGAGCTCCCCCCCAAAAAGAGACTCATCGACTTTCCATCGGCCCGTTTTCGATAGCTTTTGGCCTTTCTCGTGGTCTTGAAGGGGAGGCTCCCGCCCGCCTAGCACCCGGAGACACGCTCACTATCACTTGGACATCTTGAAACTGAACCCCAACATACCCCAACGCATGCCGTCTTCCGGTACCCGGCGACTGTTCTTGGAGGCTTTTCCTCTCATTTTTGTTGGAGGCACTGTCTGCGTTCGACAGGGGATCAACTGCTTCACTCACCGGACGAAGAGTGTTTGAAACTCTTTTCTGTTGACCTCAGTTCTGTTGACCTAAAGATGATCAAAGTGCCCACGAATCGTTTCAACAAGCGAAAGAAAACGCACTCTCGTCTCCGGCGAAGTGATGTATTTGTCAAACTGAGGTCTGGTCAATGTATTTGTCAAAGAAGTTCGAGAACATAGCTCCATGGGGCGAAGTCTGAGGCTTTCCGCTGAGCCTATGAACCGCCCGGTTCGATGTCTGCCCGTTGACGTTTCACGCATTGAACTGTCGAACCGTGGAAACACACCGCGGAGATGTCAAAAACCATGTCGCCCACCGTTCTCACTTCTGCAAAGCAGTCAGACGAGTGATTCAGTGATTCATAGTGATAGCTATGACGCCTTGGGTGACACATAGTGTTTCCGCCAATTCCTTGAAGGTGTTGTAAGAACCTCCCCTCTTGCGATCTGCTAAGGACCTCTCTGGAGCCGAAACAGTGCCATTTTTGGAGGGAAGACTCCTCAACGCGAAAGCCAACAAAGCAGCCGGCTCCAAACGTCAGCTCCGAACTTTTCTCTTTTTGATCCAGCTGTTTGGCCGAACTCTCTCCCTGCAAGTGAAACCGCCGAACTCTCTCTCCTCGCAAGTTCAGAAACGCGACCACTTCTAAAGGCTGTAGCGGGTGTCCGAGGGGTGGCATGAGCAAAGCTTGGTCAAGAAGTCGAACTCAAAGGTCCCATCGGAGGGGCCGCTGCCGCTGCCTTTGGTCCGAAGGAAGGGCTTTTCCATGACCAAGTTGCGGGACATCGACCTGCGTGGTGGCGAGCATCGGTTTGAACGTCAAGTCATTTTGTAGATAGAAAATGGGGAAAAAACACATTGCACCATCCAACACCAATGGACAACTGATCATGTTTTTGGATGGTATCATGTGTGCAATCACAAAATTACTTTTTTACGGGAACATCTATATGGCATATTATAGAATCTTCTACTTGTTTACCTGCAGCCACCAGAAGGGTTCGATTGCTACGTCTTAGTGAGGCAGCCAACTCACATTCCGTTTGGGTCAACGTCTGCTTTCCTACGCTCTTGCAATTTAATATTTGCTCAATCCGTGCACCTCCAAAACTATGTAGAATGGATGGTTTATTCATCATTCTTCATCTACCACTTAGAAGAGAGGCTAGACTCAGCCTGGCTCCCTTCATCTATACTATACTTGTCAGGTCTCTCGGCTCAAATCCTTTCGAACCAAGAGTTGTGAAATGTTTCTGCTTGACCCGTCCTCACCTGGTCGGAGAGTGGGGATTCATCTCCACCAACACCAGCAAAGCGGTCATGTTGTCGCCCCCGAGGCCGCCCGTCTTCATCAAATCGGGTGAGAAGCACTCGTCCAGGAGATCTTCCATGATCTGCGATAAAGAAGTCTCGCCTCCCAGGGATGCAAAGGCCGATTCTGCTTACCAAGGCCCATTCTCTTGGTTCATTCCCCGGGTCTTCTCCCATGGTCCATCATCCAAGGGCAGTGTCTTCAAAATTTTTCAATATTGTTCCCTTTCCCCATGTCTGATGGCAAGAGTTTCGGAGGCCTCTTTTTACCTAGGACGTGTGAAATAACATGACGTGCTCAAAACGAGTCTCCATCCTTCCTAAAACGAATTTATATAACACCCCCAAATGAAGGAGCACATCCTTCATCATCCTTCCATCTCCCTCATCCATGTTTCTAGAACAATTGGTAAACTATGGTAAGCTTATTTTCCCCTGCAATTACCTGCGATCCCACATCCTCCATCACCCTCCCATATTCTGAAACCTATGAGCGTAAGTCTTCCAAAGAGAAAAACACCAGTCCCCGCTCCTTCTTCTTCCCCAGATAGCGAAGCTATGGGGTTCTTACTTCAAATAGCGATGAGTTGCCCGTGCGCGCTTTCGAGACAGGTTGCTGCTGGTGCTGGGTGCTGGGTGCCGGGTGCCGGTGTTGGTGCTGGTGCTGTGAGCTGGCTGTGCACGTGGTGGAGACAGGTTGCTGGTGCTGGTGCTGGTGCCGGTGCACGTGGTGGAGACAGGTTGCTGGTGCTGGTGCTGGGTGCCGGGTGCCGGGTGCCGGTGCTGTGAGCTGGCTGTGCACGTGGTGGAGGCAGGTTGCTGGTGCTGGGCGGTGCCGGATGCCAATCCTGGTGCTGGGTGCCGGTGCATGCCGGTGCTGGTGCTGGTGCTGTGAGCTGCCTGTGCCGGCGCTGGTGCTGCTGGCTGTGCGCGTTGGAGACAATGCCGGTGCCGGGTGCTGGCAGCGCGCGTGGTAGAGACAGCGGTCGCCGGTGCCGGTGCTGTGAGCTGGCAGTGCGCGTGGTGGAGACTGGGCGCCGGTGCTGGGTGCTGGCTGTGCGTGTGGTGGAGCCAGGGTGCCGGGTGCTGGTGCCGGGTGCCGTGAGCTGGCGTGCCGGTGCTCGGTGCTGGTACCCGCTTCTGACAGTGAAGTGATAACAACCGCCTGCTGACAGTGAAGGGTAACAAACCGCCGCTTGCAGCAGTGAAGGGCGACCAAGCGCCGCTTCTGACAATGAAGTGCCAGCAGTCATGGGCCGCATGAACTTCTGCACGCAACATCATCATACGGTGTTGTCGCTTGAGCATTCTTTGTCTATTAGCGCTGTGGGGTATTTACACTCTTCAGGTTCGGTTTTGGCCGACAGCTGTGTCAAGGGCTGTAGTGTTTGCGCCCATACTTACTTTGTACGTACAATGTTCTATGCGCAACGTCAGGCTCTCAACCGACCATTGTTTCAGAATGCTACATGCACATACATACACAATATACACAATACTGCTTGACCTTGGGCGAGTGAAGCCTACGGGCTTCGCCGCTTGTGCGCATACTTTTGTGCGCGTAAACGTTGCTTCAAGCGTGCTACAAAGTCAATAGTGGCGCTGGATACTGCTTGGCCTTGGGCCAATGACTCTTACGGGCTTTGCTGTTTGCGCGCGTACTTTTGTGCGCATAAACTTACACGCGCAAGATCATACGCTGTTATTCATGTTATTCCCCAAATAGGGGCGGTGCTGGTGCTGGTGTTGTGGTCCTGGGTAATGGTGCTGTGAGCTGGCTGAGCGCGCGTTTAGAACGGGCGGCGGCGCTGGTCGGGTGCTGCCGCCGCTGCCGGTGTTATCAGCTGGCAAAGCGCACCTGGTGTCAGCTAATTGTGCGCGCTGTGGAGGTGCCGTAAGCCGGCTGTGCAGGCTGCGTACATTTTTGTTCCAGCCAGTCGCATGTCAACAGGTCTAGTGTATGCTGGTGTAGTTTCCACACCCGGCCCGGCCCCCCGGCTCTCTCACCCACTCTCTTTCACGTCTGACGTCCTGGACCCTGACCCTTCTGACCCCGGCCTCCTTCTTGCAGCTTTCTTCTCACAAAGTCCACGGCTTCCTGGCTCCCGATCCGGTCCCAGATCCCATCGCTGGCGATCAGCACAAATTCGTCTGCCGCGTCCCGTCGGTGTTCGAGCACATCCGGCACCTCGGGAGACACGGAGACGCCTCGACGCCCGCGCGGAGACGGACAGCCGTAGAAGGACGAGCTCCGAAAATCGGAGAACTCACCGAGGGTCGCGGGTGGGTTTTGGGATGGAAAAACGAGGTGCACACTGTGCACACCTGCCGTTTTCATCCCAATCCACCTCTTTTTGTTGAGTTCCGTGGGGAAGACTCCTCCTCCAAAAAGGGAGGCCTGCAATCCACTGACTCGTTGCCGGAAGGAGACCCTCATACCTGGTGTAAAAGATGATGTCAGTTCATGAGAAGGGTTAGTATGGGTTAGTTGGGAAGGTGTGAAAGGCTCAATTTTCCATCGTTATCATCGTTGGTGGGGCCTGTGCCTTGTCCTTTGATGGTTTAACGGTTAACGCAACATGTTTTACCCACACCGCGGGGCAGGGAAATGCTCCAGAACATGGACAACCCATCCCAGGAAACAAATTTTTGAGCAGGGGCGTCCCGTCCGTTGTCTTTTGATGTACTCTTGGATTGTATTATATATATATATTCAGTCGATTCCAAGCCTAATTGCGGAAAACAACGGAAACCAAAGAAAACACTACAACGAAGTCATCTGCTGAATTGCGCACATGGCACGGAAGAAATGATTTGTTCACCTGGTGGCAGCTGTAGATCATTCTTGTAATCCAGGTCGCCAATGCTTCTCGACAGATTCAGATTTCCATTGATTCGGAAGGTGGTCAATGGACCAGCTTGTTGCTGCTCAACAACCCCTCCCGCCCGTTCAATGCGCTCGCGCTCGCGAGGGAGATTGGGCTTGTGGTCCTCCGACAGTGGCACTGCCTGGCCCCTCTGAGACAAGACCACTCGGCTATCGCCCACGTTGGCGACCAGAATGGACTCCACTTGAACCAGGCAAATGGCAGCTGTGCAGCCCACACGTCGGGCCCCCCATGCAGCCAGCGGATTGTCCCGTGTCCGATCGACCAAGGATTGCAAATAGTCGGATTCCTCTTCACTGCGTAGCAGGCCATCCATACTCTCAACTGCACGTTCCAGGGAAGTCCTCACTGCATACTCTCAAATCGGTAGTGTGTGGGGTGTGTGGGTCAGCTTTTGAAAGGACACGGAGACCAACAAAGAACACCTGCATATCACCCAATCAGCCTAAAACCTTGACTATAAATCTCAACACGCTGCCTAGCAAAACCCCTTCAATGCAGCAAAGCAAATCATGCAAAACAGCAGTTCGGTTTTGCCGCCTGCACCTCTGCATGCTTCTGTCTCTCTACACCTCTCCGTGCGGCTTTTCTGCTTCAAATGACAATCAAATCGCAAGGTGTTCTGCCTTTCCCCCTGGAACCCTCCGTCCTGGGCTCAAGCCGTTCCCCCTGAGAAATGGCCATAGGCAGCCGACGCTGACAAAAGCGCGCGACCTGCCAAAAGCAGGTTGGGGTTTTGGACCCTGATCGTCCTGATCAAGAGTCCAAAACCATATACGGAGACACACCAAACCTTTCAAACACTGCACTGCGTGGGAAAGCTGTAAATATCAAGTGTTGGATGGGTGCGAGGGAGCTCTTGCCCAGTAGACACCTCTTCCCTGCCCTGCCTTGCTCTCAGAAAAGCTTACATAATTAGGTGGACACAGATTTTCCAGCTCCACAGGTTTTGCTCGTCTTCCACTCCCAAGCGGAGTCGTCACGGCACACGCGCCCCGGCGGAGTCCGTCATCCCGCCTCGCGGCCACCGTGACCATCCATCACTCCGAAGGCCGCTGTGTCGGACCAAGCGCCGCCGAGAGAGGCCAAAGCAAAGTGAGCATCCTCCATGTAGGGGCGCCAGCCTTGCATACCTTGGGGCGTGAAGCAAACAAGGAGAAGCAACAACAAATTCAGCCTTGCATGCCTTGGAGTTCTCCAAAATTCTCTTGAAATAGAAGCGTCATGAACCATCTCTTATCATTTCCTCAGTGAGAAGAAGATATTAAATCAGTCTTTTTGAGCTGGACATTTTTTCCGTTTCACATGAAACAGCCGAAGGGTTCGAAGGCAGTTGGATTGGCCATAAACATCACCTAGGGACCTGGCTAGTGGACATTTGTTTATCTCCAGGGCCCCACAGCCCCCAAGGGCCAGTCATTTTACCTTTAAAGCTCTCGGTGGTGGGAACCTCTTCCATACTTTTGCTGGATATCATTCGGGTGACCTCTCAAAAAAGGATATGAAAAGTTTCCTTCTCAACGAAAGAGGGTTGCTGCTGAACCCCCATCGCAGCTGTTTGGTCTCGCAAAATCCATCACCACTGTCCTTGAAGGTGCTGGCTTTGGCGGTACTTTGCCCCATGAAACGCCAGCGATGAATTACACATGGCAAAATTTTGTTGAATTCGAGCCAATGGCTGGCAAAGGTGGTGCCCAATTCCTGCCATGGCCTCCACGAAACACCACTCTGCGTCTCATTTCTTGAAAAGCATGTATTTCAAGGGTTTCGAGGGGCGAGTGCAGAAAAAAGTACCAGCCCAAGGCCCAAGGCCACACTCATTCGAACATGAGCATGTGGCGAACTCGAATCTTTGAGAGAACCTCCTGTTTTTTTATGGGAAAGCATTGGCGGATGCCCAATGCACCTCGCGGATGCTCATCATAACCTAGCCCAATGGCGAAAAACGTGCTCCAGCTATCTCATGCCTTCGCTTGCCTTGGTCAAGAGAGTACTTATAGTGTACAATACGAGATGCAGCAAATATGGCTCCGGGCCATGGGCCCCCAAGCTCAGGGACGACCATTTGGCCAATTTTTTTGACCCTACTATACACATTGGCACCTGTTGAGTTCCATGTTAGTTGGTTGATGTTGAGCTGGCTGGATCACAGTCGTCCAGTGAAGGCTTCCCAGTCGTCATGTGCCCTGTGTTCCTTTTGATGACCCACGGCGCCGCAACTTCACAAACGAATTCAACCGATGCTTGCAGTCTGCGCTACAGCTGTGGGAGAGTTGCCATGTTCATTGGGCTTGGAGCACTTGATTCTAAATCTCTCGTTGTTTTTCTCATCGCTGTTCTTTTTCCCAACAACGAGTGGCAAACCGTGAATCCCTGGCTCACCTCCCACTGTAGCACCCACAAGCTGCAAGCAGTCGGCCTCCCCTATTACCTATAGCACATTTGGGCACCACACCCACCCGAAACCAGCTGACCATGGCAGCGACACTCTTCGAAATCTGAGTCTACCTGAAGGATTCTTGATTCGAACCTCACGATGACCTCACGACCGTACACGAAAGGCGTGATGCGGTTGTGAAAAAGTTCTTTAGATCAAACGATTCGGATTCGATACGCCCCTTCACAATCTTCACAGGATCGGTCAGCCCATTCAGCCGAGGCGGATGGTCTCTGGCGCCTTGAAACCGTGCACGCAAGGCCGCCGCAGCGAAAAGGCCGCCAAACCGAAACCGGATCCAGTGGAGTCGTTGATGATGCGAAGGCGAAGGCAAAATGATCCAACAGATTCCAAATGTGAGAAGTGAGCCAGTTCTTGTTTTTTTCTCGCACTTCTGGGGCTTCTGAGGTTGGGACCTTTTGAAGGGAAAGTGGAACGCGAATCCATAAACCACATGGAAACTGTTTCGTGCAAACAGCTTCCTTTAAGAGGCCAAGCTAGTGGCTGCATCTTAGTCTGGGAATGGAAGACCTCCCAGTCAGCACATCAAAAAGCGGCCCTACCTACTCCTACCCCACAGCAATTAGAGAACACCAACCTAAGATCTACATGAAGATCATCATAAAGGCCGAAGAGTCAATAAGTCAGTCGATTTGACTCTCCACGGAGAGATCGTCTGCTCTCGCCCTTGCTCGTCTGCTCTCGCCCTCGCTGAGGGCGCCACGAGAACCTCATTTCCGGAGTTCACGGCCCGATGCCAGTCGTGGTATTCCAATCGGTCCTCCCACGTCCGACAGGCAATGCGTCACATCGGTAGCACATCGGTCTCCAGATAGTGGGCTGGATGACCCAAGAGTTTGGGCCCAGGAAAGGACATCGTTTCATATCGCTTCTGGCTCTGACAAAAGGGAAGGCATCGCGTTTCTTTTGGGAGGCCTCAGTGCCTCTGTCGGCTTATCTCGCCCTGCCCAACTCGAACAACTGCTTGACGTGTGGTCGGTCATGTCGAGCCGCGCTGCCGGAGCTGTACTTCTGGACAACCTGTACGCCAAGCAGAAGAAGACAGATCCCTAAGTTCGACTCTTCGCATTCGGCCAGCCGTGGGGCCCAAACATCGGGCCGGACCCAAACATGAACGGACACGAAGCAACACAAGCACTAACACAATAACATCCAACAGAAACCTGAAGACAAGCAATTGAACAAGAAAAGACAACACACCAAGAAGTGAAACTATAATTTATTCACCCATGATATAGTTTCATATGTCATCCTATATGATATTATATATATATATATCATATATATTTATGTATACTTTCTTCGCCTATTGTCTCCCACCGATCCGATAGGCCTTTCAACCTTCCCGTTCCCTTCGATCCCCCATGGACCCGCCTCCAAGAGCAACTGCCGTGAGGACGTCTCACCCCTTGGCGCTTCCCGCGGTTCTCGGTGCACCTCCTTGGGCTCCCTGGGCTCCTCGTGGTTCGTGGTGGAAATCAAGCGGGGGCACAAAGGGAACGGACGGTGGGGTGGTTGGGTGGGCGATGATACTCGCTCCAGCTACTGGGCACACGAGCTTCTTGCCGTTTGTTTTCCTTGTAAGGCTACGCAATACGTGTACTAGCATGTACTAGCTAGCTGCTAGCTTCATCACGAAGTTGGGATTCGGATAGAGGATGCTAAAGTGCTCCAAGGACCTTGAGCAGCTTCACCACAGGTGTGACACCCACGCGATCGGGCGCCACGTTGCGTAGACCTCAAGCATTCATGTGTGGTACTGCTCAAATTCAAGCAGTTTTGTCATGAAACACCTGGTAAAACATGTGAAAGGCTATCCATCTTCCCGACCTTCCCTTTCGCGTATTTTCACACTTTTTCCTCTGAGTTTGGGGTCATGTTGAAGGGAGTCCAATTTGGGTGAAGCTTCCTTTCGTGCCAAAGTGAGCCCTTATGTGCTTTTGAGAAAACTCTCCTCAGTTGATGGCTCTGGTCTTTGGTCATCAGCATCTTCTTGAGCTTGGGAATTGGCTTGAAGTAATCATTCCTCAAGCAAAAAGCCAAGCAGGAGCGGCCACACGGCCACGGTCTCTACTTGGCCCTCCGACAAAGGAGATACAGTATTTCCAAGCAAGAAACGTAATTTCCCAACACCTCTTTCCTTTTCTCCTACCTCTGTCTCTTGTGTTTCTCTGAAACAAAACCGCCCCAAAACCTATGCCACAAGAAGAATCGGAGAACTCAACCCTAGGGCCCTAGGACTCTTCGGACTCCGACCCTCACCTGAGTCCAACACTTGTCTTCCGTCACCGCCTTCTCCCGATCGCGCCGCAGGTACTCCTCACCTCGGCCGGCATCGCAAGGGCCCCGCCGCGACGCGGCCGGACACCCGCGCGACCAGGCGTCCCAGGCGCAGCTTTTCTTCGGTCCTGGTGGTGCGGGGCCGCAGGTGTCTGTGGGGAGTCCACAGGCACCGTGTGGGTCAGTCTGACAGTCAGGAGTCATGAGATGTTGGCCAAATGCCTTATCACTCCATGAGGGGGGTCTTGTAGATTGATCCGTGAGAACGATCAATTCTGAGAAAAACACCATGGTCACTCGGCATTCGTTGTTTTGGTTCTAGCGATCTTATGCCAGTCGGATTTTTCTGTTTCGGGATTCTTTTGGCAGAACGACCGGCCACGGTCCCGCCTGGGAGAACCTTGCAACTTGGGAGATCTCGAGCGCTGCCACGAGCCGCGTGGCCGTGGCCTCGTGCTGGCACGGGAGTTCTGATATATATGCTTCAGCATGGCATGGCAAGCTCAAGGACACTTGTTTCCTCAAAGAAATGATCAAGGCCAGTCATGGCCAGGACACATGTTTCTTCATAACCTAAATGAAACATCATGAAGCCCAACATGCCCAACCAAATCTGCCAGTCTTTTTGATCCTGAGCACATCGCTCCTGAAGGCGCACCAGCCCACAAGGTACTTCCTCCTGTGAACCGTCCTCCAGCTGAACGTCCACGACGAGCGAACGGCCCATCACACCTCGGTCCAAGCAAGAGCGTCTTTTCTTCTTCGACTCACATGGACAGTTCCATGGGGCTCTACAGGTGGTGACTCCACTACAACATTACATGGAAGTCACATGGAAGTCTATTGCCTCTGGAACTCACATGGAAGTGGAGTTCACCACCTGTATGTCGCGGAAAATATGGTCTTCCAAGGGGCCATGCCATCCATGTAACCATGTTCGTTCCCACAAATTGTAATCTTAGCAACAAATGCCAAATGGATTGCATACAGAAGGGTCAGTCACTGGGCAGAACGATGGCATGTGTTTCCTCAAGGTGCTCAAGGAAATTCCATTTGGAGGCATACTGGCGTCACACGCCGGATTCCCACCTCGCTTCAGGGCTTCTGAGGCATCCGCATGAAGAAAGCACCTGTGCATAGTGCCAGGTCCTGGCACACCCGACCCGGAGGCCCCAGTCGCGACCGGCCGCCACAAGCGAGCAGGGCAGCACGTGCCCCGCAGCACCCGCACACGGGCACCGATGAGGCGATGCTGATCGAAGCGGCAGCGGTGCTTGGAATAGGCCTGGGCGAAAACGCCACGATGGGATGCCTGAAAACTGCGCGGAACGTGGATGCCTGAAGCATCATATTGAAGCTACGTGACATACTGTATGAAGAGCAGCATGCCAGTATTGTACTAGGTAGGGATTGTTCCATTATCCAGTTCCTGGCCCACCCTTACAACGAAAGGTGATGTTGAAAAACACCAAGCATGACGACATCCATTGCTGAGCCATGCTGAGTCCCAGAGAATCTCAAGTGGAAGACCGGTGGAGCATCATTGAAATGACCACAACAGTTGTTCTTTAGAGCAAGCTGGCTCGGCTTGGCACCTGTGCCAACTGCACAGGTATGGTATACGCTCGTTTGGACCCAAAGCTGGACATCAGACATCAGACAAGGAGCATTGAAGACATCAGAAGGTTTGATCTCGGGAGGCCTCGGGAGCCTGTGCCCTGACTCTTCTACTCTTTTCATGCCTTTCAAAGGTCTACGCCACGCCGCTACGCCGCGCTCCGCATCGCTCCGCATCGCTTCTCCGGCACCCGCTTTTCCTAGCGCGCCTGGCGAAGCTCCGGCAGCTGAACCAATTCCAAGGCCATCTCCCTCTTCAAGCCTCGGAGCCGCGCCATTCACGGAGGCGCGACGTGAACGGCAGGGCGGCTGAGGATGGACCCAAGGGCAAACGTGGCAGCACCGTGTCGTAGTACCTGTCGGTGCCGCTCAGCGGCTCGGACATGTGGCAAGGACGTGGGGGCGAAGTGGCGGCGAAGCGGAGTCTTCTCCAAGTTGAAGCACTTGATCTTGGAATCAGTTTTTCTGGTCGAATTCACCTGGTGAATTCGAAGATCGAGAATGGAGCCTCAAAAAATATGAGTTATTGCACCCCCAAATGCGCAGATTCCACCTGAGTTCGTGCCTGAGAGCTTGGAGTTCTGAGCTTAGAAAGGCCAAGGGGAGAAGAAAGGTCTGGACCAGTATGCACATTCAGATTCATGTGAATCATCGGTCATGCGACGCGAATTCCACCAAACACTGACCGGTGAAACTGCACATGCTTCGCACCCACCGGTGAAACCTGATCCACCGAGCTGTTGGGCTCGTTTTGGTTCTACCAAACCGTCGCTGTTTTCGGTCGCGAACGCGCGTAAAGGAACGTGCAGCGAGACAGGTCAGCTCTGAGATGCCGTGACGGACCCCCCCTCACGAAAGGACATCACAGCACCATCCCATCCGGAAGGTGCTTGTCATCTGTCAGCAAATGCTCCACCCAGTCGCCCATGGACATCGGAACCTCAGCACGGTCGAGCTGGTTCCAGACAGTGGACGTCTCCACCGATCCGCTGGGGCAAAGCCCGAGCCCGAGCAGTTTGGACCTCCACGCTCTGCGCAGGGTCCGAAGGAACAGTTCGCCGCTGGCGTCGCCGCTGGCGTCGCCGCTCCGCTCTCCACGCGCCGAAGAACCAGTGGGGCTCGCGCCGAGGTAGGGCCGCCGGTTGGCCTGGTGTGACCAGGAAGGCTCACTCGCGTAACGGAGTTCACGTTGGTGGGTTCAGTTCCGGACTTCGTGGGTTCCGGCGGGGGCGGTCGCGATAGAGCACTTCGCTGAACAAAGGGGCACCGTGGAACATTTCATGTGGCATGTTCTCTGGAGTGTGGCTGCATCTTCTTGATTCTCGCTGGAGGTCGACTGCAAGTGGAACAAGTGGAGGATGGCCAGTGGAGCCGCTGGCCGTCCTAGCTGTGTTTAGTGGAAGTAGGTGCGAACGCGTGACGCTTTGCTTGTGGAGCACGGCGAGTATTTTCCTTCAAGTCACAGCTAGTCCAATTGCTCCTCTGACCCATTTTTGGAAGACCTTGCAGGACATACTTGCCTCATATATCCAATGATAAGCCGTCCTGACCCGGAATCGCCCAAACGAAGTGTCGAGATTCGATTTCTGAGCTGCTTTTGGGATCTTTTGGGTACGCCCTACCAGGGCCCATCGATCTATACTCTAGATTCCAGGCCTTTCACCCCCAAAAGAGTGATCATCTTTGACCTAAACTGCAGTGGTCTACTGGGACCACACGAGCTTCTCCAGTCGATCCTTGGAGACTCTCACCCTCCAGCGCCTGAAGACCTCGGTGTCGAAGAGGAAGTTTCGCAGCCAACGCCAGGCCTCTGTGGGCCTCGGCGGCGGACGGTCCCCCGACCCGGTTGGGTGGGAAGAAGCTCTGTCAGTCTTGGGGGGCAGACATGTGAGCGAATGAGCTGGCAAGCCTTTGGTGATCTTTGGAGGTTGGATGATGCTCCAGTGCTGGTGGGTGGCTTTTTCGCTCGAAGCTCTGGCAATTCCTTGCAGGTCTTCGTGGCATTGGGGGAAGCAGCATGGCTCTACACAGAAACTAGCAGTTTCTTAAAAAAAGGCTGCTCCAGCACGGTCAGTCAACCACTCACCGCATCAGAAGAGCATCCATTAGGATCTTGAGAAATTTGAGCCACCTCTGCTAACAAATGGAGCAAAGGGCCTCTTCACGCCGAAGTGTAGTCTTTGACATGACACTGAGCGCCTTCCGCCGAGCAAGCAGCAATCACAAAGCCTTCCATACCGATTTTCGCAATGCAGTCCAGCATGCCAAGCAAGGCATCTTCGACTCCTTTGGAGATCAAGCCTGCATGAGCACGGCCCAAAATGACTACAATGGGATAGCCAGTCCATGAGACAATCGTCAACCATTCAAGCTGACTGAAGAGCTGTTGCACATCCGGTGGTCGCTTCTTCACCGTTCCATTGGCGACGCCCACCTGAAGGGCTGCGATCATGAGGCCAAAGAAGAGCAAAGAGATACCGCACCAAAAGATCTTCAATCCCACCTTCGCTTTGGGCACGATCACTGCACTCACGATGCCTCCCATCAGCATCATGAGATCGCTACCAATGACCATGAAGAAGGTATGCTTCTCGGCTCCACCTATCATGCAAAGTTCAAAGAGCATCAATGGAGTGGTGGCCACCCAATCGATGTATCTGATAATTGGCACCTTCCGACCTGCAATCGTGGCCTCGCCCATGCCAGTGACCTCAGCTGAGATAAATTCACCGAAATAAATTATCATATATTATCATCCAAGAGCCACACCACGGGTGGATGATGGATGGTATAAGACCTTCTTGATCCCTGTTCCATCCTGTTCCCCCTAAACCGGAATTAGTCACTTCCTCCGTCTCTTTCCTCCCACCCGTTCAACCGCCTGGGTCGAACAGGAAACACCGTGTTAACATTCACGAGTTTGTCGCGGGACCTTGGCGAAGTAGGCCAGTGAGGCAATGGTGACCACAAAGAAGGTGACGACATAATCCTCGGGATGCTCCTGAGTGATCCAAAGAATGAGCAACAGCAAGGAGGCCAGGGAGAACAAGATGTGCACCACCCAGGCAACCCAGTGGGAGAACTTGTAGCTCCACCTCAAGTTCGCAAGCTTTGCTGAGGGCTTTGGCTCAAAAGAAGCTCACTCAAAATCACTTGGCTCTGTTTGAGACTTCATCACCAGATCTGGTGATCGAACAAACATGTCAACTGGACTGACCCAGAAAAGGAATCAAACATGTTCTTCCGAAGGTTCATGTAGACTCTTGATAAAATTTCCTTTCCCCCTCCCAGGAGGAAGCGAAATCACCTGGTGAAACACTCCACGTTGTTCTTGGGGGGCGGGTGATCCTCAAGAGCCTACATGACTTCCAGAAAAGAACAACAAACATCATCCAGGAGTCACATGCCGGGGTGGTTTTGAGTCCCATCCAGTGAGCGGAATGTTCGGCACTCAGCACCCTGTCCTCCTTCCTCCCTTCGTTCGGCACCCCCGAATCCGTTCGTGTGACTCCTGGATGTTTAAACCAAAACCTTTCTTTTCGCCGCCGATCCACCACTCATATTGCCCGTTCTTGACCGCCTCTTGTCGATCCTCAACGACTTGTCCCAAATAATTGCTGGCCTTGCGCATGAGGTGCTTCTCGGAGGTCTCGGCGTGCGGGACTTCCGGGTCTTCGGTGAAGGGATACACAGAGTCCATCTTCGACATCTTCCCCAGCCGAGGAAAAGGGTTCTTCTGGAGCGGGAACCTCCTGTGTCAAAGCAGCGGAAGCGGGCAGAGTGCTGGCCTAGACTTTGCGGGAAAAGTGGTGGAAACTGAACTGACTACTGTGGATAGAAAGTGTTGAGCCAAAGTGGCGAATTACAAGCAAGGCTGTGACACCTGTGATCAAGCACGGCAGAAACATGTGAAAAGAGCTGTAGCTAGAGGTTGCTTCACAGGTTCAACCTGAATTCCAAACACACACGTTTCACATCGGCTTCCCATCTAGGTTCACAAAAGCAATCTCCAAGGTGTCTGCAAGATGTGCAATGCAAACGTTCACCCCAAAAAACGGGTGGTGTGTTGAATCTGCGCGGCATCTATTTCTTAGGGCACCCGATTCTAGCACTGGGCTGCTCTGGCGGGCAGTTGAAGCGGAGGTGCAGCAGCGCGACCTGTTTCGCCGGTCTGGGTTTCACACTTGGACCCAACGTTGTGGCCTTCCAGTCGAAGTGGAAGGTCTCTTCTTTCAGAGTCTCACTGCCCTCGCCGAGTCTTCCGTTTCACATCGTTCCGTTTCCTCGCCCCACCCGCCCCTGACCCGCCCCTCTCCAAGTCCCCAGGCCGCGCGCACGTAGGCCGAGCCCGTGCGTGCAGCGGCTCGGAAGCCGACGAGGTCGCGCAACTGATCCTTCGAAGGCCTGGGCTCCGGGCTCCGGGCGCCGGGCGGTGGCGCTTCCGGTGGTAGGATCTGGTAGGTGTAGGGTTCAGGCCACAATCCAAACAGCCTAGGATGCCATATGCAACAGTATATATATATATATATATATTTATGTACCCAGAAGTCAAAAAGATCCCAAGAGCGCAAAAAGCTGCAGGCAGGCTTTTTCCAATGAGCTTTGGTTGATGCTGGGGTCCTCCCCCAGACCCTGTATCGTTTGATCCATTTCAAACTGCCCCGGACTTCGCCAGGGGGACAAGGGTGTGTCAGGCAGTAGGATTCGCCCGTCTCTGCCGCAACACCCGAATGTCCCCTGGCCTCCCAGGGCCAACAGGCACCTGTCGAGGTGCCAGGGGACAGGGTCGGGAGGACAGCCCACCGGATCCGGTCACGGGATCTTGGGTGGGCAGCTAGGAAAAGCCGGTTGAGGACAAAAGTTTTGAAACAAAAGGAAAAACGAAGAGAGTCTCCGGTGCCGGTAGCCGGCGATCTAAGGAGAATCCTTCAAAATCAGGATGGGTCAATTCATCCGCCCAGGTGTTGAATTCCCGGGGGATGTGATTGGGAGCGATGCTACAGCCCTCACGATGAAGGAAGAGAACCAATTCCATGAGGAGTGCCGCAGAGTATGGTTTCTTGGCCGAGAGGTTGAGTAGGCTGAAGATGTTGCCTGAGTTATCACTGCCCACCGGGAGGCGAACTCTCCCCGGCATTTGGCCCTGTTGGGCCACCAGGTGCTTGCAAAGAAGCAGTGTGCCCAGGAGTTCCAGGGCAGCGATGCGTTTCTGAGGGTTGCCATCCTTGAACGCCCAAGGGTGGGCGTCAGCTGTAATAGCATAGTGGAACCATAGGACCTGGTCCTTGGTGGGGTTTGGGGAGGTCGAGCACCAACCCTAACATAGGCTTCACCCGTTTTGGATGCACTAGCATCACTGCATCCCCACCAAGGCGACTTCGGCAAGAAAGGTGAGTACTGTTCAAAGGGGTGCGTGAAGAGCTCCCTCAGGAGGGCGGCCAGCATTCGGACCACCTTTGGTGGGTGGCCCATAGTTTTGACCGCCATCTTCCAAGCCCAGAGTGGCTGGAGCAGGGACTTGGTCAGAGGACAGCACGCCGTGGCCCACTGGATCCGTCCCATGGCCTTCTCAATGGCCTTGGCTGACATGGGGGATCCATTGGCGAGTTCTTCCAGGAGCTCCATGACCTTGATGTGCTTGGGTGCCGCCATCTGGACTCGAGGAATGGACGGGTGGATCACGAACCCAAGCCATGTATTGATCTCTGCCAAATGGGTCTTCTTCCAGCTAAGGGGCGTGCCCAAAGCCACCAATGTACCCAAGAGGGCCGCAGTGAATTGCGGTCCTGTGGGCAGGTGAAGGAGCCAGCAAAAGTCATCAACGAAGACAAAGCCCCAGTCAATCTGAGGGAAGAGGTAGTAGAGGATCCGCAGGAGCAAAGCCGCCATTCTGCCCCAGTAGAGCTGAGCACTTGCCATGCCGTAGGTGCCCACCTTGTTGACCCACCATTCGTCGTCCAGTTGTGCGACCTGGAAACGCCAGTCTTGGGGCAAGACTTTGATCCGTCGGTGGGCCTTAGTGACGTCAGCTTTCAGCAAGATCCATTGGCTGTCCTTGGTGCTCCTGGGTTAAGCCGGGGGCGTGTGGAAGCCTCAGTATGTCTTGCGGCGTGGAGCCAGTGGATAGCATGGACACAGTCCAGGACTGTGGGTGCTGTGGTCCGTTCCTTAGTGTTTTGTTGGATCTTGGCATTGGCGCCTCCCACCGATCCATCGTAGATGGTACGGACCTTGTCCCCTTCGTCGATCCCCGCCAAGGGGCCCGGGCAAAGGGCTGTCGGGTCACAGCCGCAGAGATCGGCCGCCTGTTGTTTGGACAGCGGGCCAAGTGTCATGCCCATTGGGACTTCTTCCTCAAAGGTGGCCCGAATTTCTCTGGAAAAGTCTGCAGCCGAGGGGTAATTGTGGTGTCCCTTGGGGTCATCCAGTGGCGCTTCAACTGGGTCTTCCCCTGCAAGCTCACTCTTGAGAGGCACTGGCCTCGGGGCGTTGGGCTTGGGGAACCAGCGAAGAATGCTCCAGGTGCGGCAGTTTGGGCCGCCCCCCACGAATAACAGTAGCCCCGCAGCAGCAAGGGAGCACAGATGGTTCCAAAGTGTGGCCTGGAGCATATCCTGGCCAAGGGGCCCCTTGTCTCTTCGAATGTCGATCGCCCAAACCAGTGGTGAGAGGTCTGGGCACGTGGCATGGAGGTAGGAGTCCAACGAGCCCGCATCATCCTTGCCGGCATAGAGAAGGAGAATGGTTGGTTTCGCCTCTCGTGGAAGTGGGACCCGTGCAGCAGTGGAGACGCCGCCGTAGTCTGTCCGGGATGTCACCTAGAGGCGGCCTCAGTGTGGGTAGGTGACTCTGGAGGATGCCTTAGTGGGGGCATCTGGATCTGGTGTTCTCGTGGGGGTTTGCCCGGTCCCCCCGCAGCGGGTCGGGGCTTTGGTACGCTGGGAGGTGGTGTAGGAGGTACAGGGCCCAAGGCGCCTGGACCGTGCCCAACCTCCCATTGGGAGTCAAAAAGAAAGAAATCGCATGGGAGGCAAATGAATAGAAATGCTACATGGCCAGCGGAAAAGGGCGGCAGCCCACTTGCGGTACCTCGGAGGACGCAGGTGGAGCAGGGCCACGGGCACCTGGACCAACCTGGCGTCACTTGGTGGCATGGGGGCATTCATCCGGGGTGTTGCTTGTCTGGGGACGCGTTGCACACCCAACCCCCTTTGCGGACCGGGCAATTGTGGGATCTGCCGCAGCTGCCCGGGCAGGTGCTGGTCAAGTGATAGTCTCTGCAGAAGGCTTTCCCTTTTGGGTCCTTGAATGCCCAGGCGTCCGGCCACTGGCCCTTGCCTTTGCCCTTCTGAGCCTTTCCTTTTCCCCCCTTCGGTGCTGGTCTTGCCCCCTTGCGGCCACGATCTTTGCCGCCTTTGGACGACTTGTCTCAGTGGGTCTGCCAGACCGGGGCCAGGACTTGCCTCTGGTCTTGCCTAGCCCCTTCGTTGCCGTTCGAGGGGCACTGTTGCAGTATTCATGCACCTCCCTCTGCCAGAAGAGGTGGTCATGACGGAGCTTGGAAAGGGCCTCAGTGAGTGGTGTACCTGAGTGGACCAGGTCATGAATCTTGCGCCATGCGTTGCGCTCGGCAAACTGATGTCTTCCCCATAGAACCACTCATACCACTCGTCCAGGGTCTCCTTGGACAGGCGCAGGTGGGCGAATTGTGGCTGGCCTGCGATACACATCAGCAGGGTGGTCCTGAACACCGTGTGCATTCTCTCCAGCTGTCGTCGAGTCCGGGGGTCTGGTCGGGTCTCTTCTTCATCCGCCCGGTCCCATCCATCCACCGACACTTTTCGTGTGGTCTTGACGGGGCGTTCCCCGTCCTCCGGAAGGGCTCCGACAATGTGCTTGGCGTTTGAGGTAGGCATCACTGCCCTGGGCTTCCAGCCTTGGTTTGAGGCAGCCGTAAGCCTCAGCATAGGCTGTTTCCAGGACCCTCCGGTCGCAGAGGCTGTCCAAGGGGCCTTTGGCTGTACCTGGGGGTTCAGTGGTGGTAGCTCGACCAATATGAAGTTGCGTCTGGGCCATGGACTTGGCGGCCCGGACCGCCTGTAGCAGGCGCATGGCAGTGAACCTGGAGGAGGCTTCATCAAAGTTGTTCTCCCCGTTCCGGAACTCCAGGTCCCGGGGCCCTTGGGCCCGTGCGTCCTCCGGGGTGTTCCAACCGTCCCCTACATCCTCCACTGTCACATATCCCTCCTGGGCCAGTTTGGCCTGAACCAATGAGGGGATCTGTTTGGCAACCAGTATGAGAGCAAGCGGCTTCGTCAAGACATCAAGATGTGGTTGGAGGGCCTCCGGTGCCTCCGTTGAGGGTTTGGCCGGTTCGATTGGGGGGGCGCCCCCTGCCCCTCCCCCACCACGTGCACCGCCGTGGGGTGCAGCCATCAAGGGTGGGTCGGGTGGGTTTTCTTCCCAACCTTCAGGTGCAATCCTGCGTGCGATTGCTACCAACTTGAGCCAAAATGTCCCGGTGGGACATTTTGTGAACTTCAGTGAACATAAAACTTGCATCCGCAAGCTCCCTGCAAGTGTGAATATGTACCCAGAAGTCAAAAAGATCCCAAGAGCGCAAAAAGCTGCAGGCAGGCTTTTTCCAATGAGCTTTGGTTGATGCTGGGGTCCTCCCCCAGACCCTGTATCGTTTGATCCATTTCAAACTGCCCTGGACTTCGCCAGGGGGACAAGGGTGTGTCAGGCAGTAGGATTCGCCCAGTCCGGAGGTCTGCCTGGCACACCCGCCATTTCCGTAGGATGCAGGCAGGCGAGGTGTGTGGCCTGGGTCCCAGCCCCTTCCCTGACACCATTATTCCAGGGCCAAGGGGCACCTGGCCGTGGGTCAAGGCTAAGAGATGGTCGAAAACAAAGCACCTCAGATGGATTCCACTGGGAGCACCTTCGGTAGCGGTACCGCATCCGCTTCCGATTGGGTGTCGACGGAGTCATCCGTCTCTGAGCCCGACGTGGCCGAGCTTTCCGTGTCCACCTCAAGATCAGGGATGTCCTTCCCCTTCCCCTCCACTGTGCCATGCCGGCTCACAAACCACGATTTGGGGAGGTCACCCTTGGCAAAGCACCGCGTGCACTTGCCGTAGCCCGTGGGGTTGGCCCAGTACTCCCCGGGAGTCAGCACTGTCATCTGGGTGCTTTTGGGGCGCCAGCCACAGCCCAAGCAGAACCCCTCCACAGTGAGGAGGTGTACACGGAATTGCTTCTCTGGGCCCCGTACCGTGTTCGAGCTGATCACCTGGTAGGAGTCGTCCTGCCTCCGGGAGCGGATCAGGGGCCTGAGCAAGGTAGTGGCCTAAACCATTGTCTGCTCCTTCCACGATATCCCACGAGTCAGTGGTGCCCGG